ACCTTCTAAGAACTCCTTACAAAGAAATTATTCTACCCACTATCCCCAGTGTATTTGCTTCCATTCCCCTTTAAAACGTCTCTGATCAGGACTGCTCTCACCAGGTCAGGGGCTAAGGCCAGTGGTCACTCTAGGTCTCTCTCTGACTTGCACAGGTGGTCACTGTCGCCTCTGAGAAACCCTCCCCTCATTGGCTTCCAGGGCACCTGGCTCCTGCCTTCTTCTCCCGCCTCGCTAGCTGCTGCATCCTCATTTTCCTAAGGATCCTAAGGTTTAGGCTCCAAGACTTTCCTCTTTATTCTCTACATCCCCTCGGTGATCTCATTCTGTCTCATGGCTATAAACACCAGCTACATGCCAACGACATTCATATTTATGTTTGTAGCCAGACCTCTCCCCTGGCCCCCAGACTTACCCAACTGCCTGTTCAGTTTCTTCACTCGGGTGTCTAATTGGCATCTCAGACTTAGCATGTCCAGGGCTGAATCCTGATTGTCCCACCAAACCTTCTCCTCCCATTGTCACCTCCACATCAGTTAAAGGCCATATCATCTCCCCAGTTTCTTGTCTGCATTCCTCTCTCTCTTGCACTTTGCATCTAGTGGCCACTGAATCCTCATAGCTCCACCTGCAGTTTTGAGGGTTGCATTGTTGTTCCTTCCTGATTTAACTTTAGTTTTCAATATGCAAAGCATTTATGTACTTCAAAGTCAAAAACGATATTAAAAGGTATCCCGGGAGAAACCCCACTCTCTTCCTATAATCTGTATGCCATTTTTTCAGTGTTTCCATCGGCAAAAATAAGCAAATATATTTGTTTCTCCCTTTTTCTTATGCAAAAGTTGGCACACTATATGCATTGTTCTGTATCTCACTTAATACAGTTCACAGAGAACTTGCAGATTCTTATTACAGCTGCATCAGAGTTTCGTTGTATGAATGTAACTATGTAACCAGACCCCCACTGATGAACACATGAGTTGTTTGCAGTCTTTGTATATTACAAATAAGGCTGCAATGAATGACCTTGTGAATGTGTTGCTATTTGCTTCGGAAGGATACCTTCAGGGTAGATTCCTGGAACTGTGGTTGAAGGAGAGAATCTGAGAAGTTACACAGGGTCTGTGTCTCCAATGCAGCCCCAGGGAGGGCGTATTTTCCAATGCCCAATTTAGAAATCGCCAAGGAGGATAATGGAGAAAGAGGAATCTTTCAGCGCACAGGGCCAAGGGCCCAATTAACAATATTTGGGGAGCCTCTCCCAGGGAGCAGATGTGGGCCTAGACATGGAACATTCTGTACCTCCAGTGGGGGAGGCCCTTGCAATAGCTACTCAGGATTTCAGAATTGCTGCCGGGCAGTGCCTGTTCCATCTATCCTATTGGAATTGGCCTCTTGGTACAAATCCACCATGTCCTTACTGATTTTCTGCCTGCTGGATCTGCCCATTTCTCATCAAGGTATGTTGAAGCCTCCAACTATGATAGTGGATTCATTTGTTTCTTTATGTTTGACTTTCTACCATTTGAATGTGATATGCCTAACGGTAGGGTTTTTTCCGGCATTCATCCTGCGTAGTGATCTCTGAGCTTTGGTGTCTGATGTTAATTTGAGGGGAAATTCTCAGTCATCGTTGTTTTAAATATGTAAATAAATGCTCTCTCTCTTCTACTTCTGGTATTCCCATTATGTGTATGTTATGCATTTTGTAGTTGTCCCACAGTTCTTGGGAGGTATAGGCTGTTCCATTTTTTTTCCAGTCTTTTTTCTCTTTGATTTTTCAATTTTGGAAGTTTCTATTTTTTTTTTTAAAGATTTTTATTGGGGAATTGGGGGGATGGGAACAGTGCTGGGGAATTGGGGGAAGGGGAACAGACAAGTTGCTGTCATTTTGTTCTTCAATCTAGTTGTGGAGGATATTGCTTCACTGGCCCAAGTTGGCACCATCATTGCGCTCTTCTCTGGTGAGGCAGATCAGTCGCCGACTTCTGGACGGCCGCTCACTGCGGCTGCTGGCCGCTCACGCTGGCTGCTGGCTACATACAGTAGCCCATGGTAACCCACTGCCACAGGGACTGCAGCCTACACCGTCGCCAGGGACTCACGGCAGCCCAGCTCCAGGTTGAGCTGTTGTTCAGCATCTTAGCTGTGGAGGGCAGTGTCACTGGCCCTCATATGTGGGATCCGAACCGGGGCCCTCTGGCATCCCAAGCGAGTTCTCAACCATCGCGCCACTCGGCCGGCCCTTGGAAGTTTCTATTGACATAGCCTCAAGGTCACAGAGTCTTTCTTCAGTTATGTCCAGCCTGCTAATGAGTCCATCAAAGACATTCTTCATTTCTGTTACAGTATTTTTTATCTCTAGCACTTTGTTCTTAGAACTTCTATCTCTCTGCTTACATTACCCATCTGTAATTGTTGTCTCCTTTTTTCATTAGAGCCCTTAGCGTATTACTCATAGTTGTTTTAAATTCCTGGTCTGATCATGCTAGCTAGCATCCTTGCCATATCTGAGTCTGGTTCTGATGCTTACCCTCTATTTTCACATTGTGTATTTTGCCTTTTAGTATACCTTGTAATTTTTGTCAAAAGCTCTACATTATGTATTTCATGGTGGGGTGAGACAACTTGTCTTTTTATTTCATAGGTCCCTTGATTAAGAGAAACCATAGCAAACCTGATGCAGAGAGAAATACCCTGATGGACTTAGAGTTTGATGCCACAATTGACTTTTTTCTTCTTGGGAGAGGGTGAGTATATTTTTTTCTGAATATTTGGTGATCAGAAAGAGGATTGTGGCATTATTAGGTCTGTTCTCAAACTATTTTCAGCTCTCCACCCCTCAGACACTTGGTAAATTGTACTTCCTTCATCTTCTGTGGTTGGTGGAGCCACATGATTCGTTTTGGACATGAATCATGAGTAGAATTGAATACTGTAGGGCTGAACTTTTACTTGATGGTGGGAGATCTTCCAGAATTCTTTTTCTGTTTTTCACGACAACTAGCAATGATTCCTCTGCTGACTACTAAATGAAGACGTGGGGAACAAAGCCCCCTGCTAACCTGCAAGAGACATGTAGTTCCAGTGCGAAATGAACCTCTAAGCCACGATGACCTAACTCATTAACTTAGCATAACACAGCTTGACCTGACTGATATACCTGCTTCAGGTCTTGGCTCACATGTCACCTTTTCCTCAAGGCTTTCCTGGACCCCTGTATAAAATAGCAGCCCCTGACCCTCCCTGAGACTCTATTCTCTTCCCCACTTTCTATTGCTTCATAACATTGATCTCCATGTAACATCGGGTTTGCTCATCTATTTTGTTTGCTATCTGTCTCCCTCTGCCATCAGAATGTAACCCATGAGGTGATCTGAGTTTGGGTTCCACCGACAGCAGATCCTGGGAAAAAGGCTTTGGTGATGATTGTTCATTTGGGACGGAATCCTGAGGAGCACAAGAGAGGGAGCTGGGAAAGAGAGTGAAGGAAGGGAGCAAAACCAATAAAGGATGCACTCATCAGCTCGTTTCTGCTGTGGGCAACTGGGGCTCAGCCCTTTGGAGAGCTTTTGAGAAGCCCTGTCAACCAGTCTCAGAAATTTCCTACCTAGAGATAGAAAAACTGGAGTGTTTACTATTTGTCCCCAACTCCTGGCCCTTGTTGGCTGCAGGTTGCTCTGAGGGCATTCAACCTCCGTCACATCAAGGTAGCCTTGTGCATGGGCTGAGCAAGCTTCCACAGTGCCGGAAAATGTCTTCAGGTAGAGAAGCAGAGAGTGACACAGTCCCCATGGATGGGAACTGCCACCACAGTTGAAGTGGGGGGCGGGTCAAGGGACCACACGGTGGGGACAATAACAGCAGCTGCCATCGGGATTTTTTTTTTTAATCCCTGATGTAGAACAAGCCCCTAAACTGTATTTTTTAATGAAACATTTAAATGTTTTAATGACACATTTTTTAATGAATGAATGAATGCTAGAATGGACATTTGCTGAGCATGTCTCCAACATTCATTTTCCTTTTTCTCATCAACCTTATCCCTATTTCCCCTTAAGAAACCATCTCTTCCCAATTCCTCAGCCTGGGGCTTTGGTTGAGATTGGCCCCACCACTTGTTCCTGGGTATGGGCTACTCCCCACCCCAAAGATTTAATCCAATCAACTTCTCTTACTTCCTTTTCTCCTCTCCCCCACTCCAGTGATCTGTTCAGGGACAGACGCATGACTCATTTGGGACCAAGGAGAGAGAGTGAATTCCAGGGCTTGCTCTCTTTCTCTTGAGTGATGTGGTATAAAGATGTGAGGTCTGGAACAGCTGCAGCCATTTTGCCACCACGGGGAAGCCTGGAAATTCTGGTCTGACTGCATGAAGCCCAGAGAGAAAGCCAGTACGAAGGCAGAAAGGAGAGGGAGAGAATCTCAGTCTTTGCAGACACCTTTTGGAGCTGCTGAATCAAATCTCACTTGAAGCCAGAACTAAATCTGGATTATGATTGGACACACCCAATACAAATTCCTTTATATTATGAAACGGTTTCAGGTGAATTTTCTGTCACTTGTGACGGAAGGAATCCTCCCTGATTCTATACCTCACTCATAGGCTTGTTGTGAGCTTTAAATAAAATAGCACTTAGCGAAGCATGGCATACAAATAATACTCAATGAACAGTAACCAATACTGTTATTATGATATACTTATTTTTACAGAGTTATGTGTGCTTTTTATTCTATACCCAAATGTCGACGTGTTTGTTTATCTTTTTGGTTTTATTCAATTTCTACCCCAAAGGAGAGAGGCTGAGGGAGGGGGCTGACCAGCCCAGGCTCCTGAACACCAGCTTGAGCCTCGGTGGACAGCACAGAGCCCACACAGTACGGTTCTAATTCCTCTGACATCTCATTTTCATTATTTAATGACGTTTGGCTGCATCCAGCTTACTATAAATGTTTTCAGTAAAGTGCTCCAGATGCCTTTTTCAGAAATCCGAATCTACATGAAAACAATAGCAACAAGAAAAAGGTGTAAACTTCCCAGAACAGGCTCAGATTTTGAAAATGTGATAAAGAGGTTATTGTGCGTCCGAACTTTTCACACAAGAATTGGGGGAGATTTAACACCAGGAATAATAAACAGAGGAAGACCAGCTAATGCAGAGCAGATGGGCCTGCAGGCCAGTGCCGAGCATGTCAACAGCCTTCCCCTTGGACCTATGGGCTCAAGACGACTGAATGCTGCTTTCTTTAGTTAAAAATAAAGGTAATGCATTGGGAGAAACCATAAATAAACCTGGTAAGAATTAAAGTTAACACAGTGGGAGAAACTATAAATATGGCTGGTTTGATTTCTGGGATGGTGAATAGACTAAAGATTTAAAGAACCTACTATGTGGCAGGCATTCTACATTCACTGCTTTAATCCTGACCACAGCTCCATTTTATAGGTGAGAAAGCGGAGGCTCTGAAAATGTAAATCATTTACTGAAGCGCACACAGCGTGACAGCGGATGAGTCCTAGGTCTGTCTCGTTGCATATACCATGGTTCTGCAAACCAGGTAACAGGTGAGCAGGGAAAAAGGGTCATGGTCAAATAAATTTGAGAAACACTGATGCATATATATATATATATATATATATATATATATATATATATATACATATATATATATATGGGGGTGTGTGAAAAAAATGTACACATTTTAAGAGATGTTATTTTATGTATTACTTTTTGAAGTTGAGTTGAATTATGGTAGCAATGTATAAAGTATGATGTTCGCTCAAAAGATGGCGTTAATCAAATGAATGCTAGTGTATTCATTGTATTACAATTTTAATACAGCGTTTTTCCTTCTTAAAATGCGTGTACTTTTTTTTGGCATCGTGTGTGTGTGTGTGTGTGTGTGTGTGTGTGTGTGTGTTTACATAGTAACAACATTATTGAGGTATCCTTGATATGCAGTAAACTATATATAGTTAAACCATGCAGTTTGATAAGTTTTGACATGTGTCTGTACCCGTGAAGCCATCACCACAATTAAGATAGTTAACATATGCATTACTCCCAAAAGTTTCCTCATGCCCCTTTGTCTTCCTCCTTCCTGTCCCTCCCACCCTTGATCTTAGACAACCACCGACACTATGACTCTCACTCTAGAAATGAGACAAGATGTGGTTTTGATCCATAATGATGTTGGAAAGCTGGAAAGGGTTTCCTTATGGAAGGGGTTTCCTTATGCTTTCTGTCAATACAGATGAGTCATATTTTCGAGAGTTATATATAAATGGAATCACGTATTCTCTTTTTCTGCCTGTCTGCTTTCACTCAGCATAATAATTTTAGGATTCATTCATATAGTTACATGTTTGTTCCTTAAATTACTAAGTAGTATTCCCTTACATGAATATGCCACCATTTGTTGATCTATTCATCTATAATGGACATTTAGGTTGTTTCCAGTTTGGGGTTATTATAAGTAAAATTGCTATGAACATTCATGGTCAAGTTTTTGTATGAAATAAGCTTTCTCTTAGATAAATACCTAAGAGTGGAATGGTTAGATCATATGGTAGGGATACATTTAACTTTTAAAGAATCTGTTAATCTGTTTTACAAAGTGGTTGCACCATTTTACATTCCTACCAGCAATGTATGAGAGTTCCATTTCCTCCTCACCAGCACTTGGTATGGTCAATCTTTTTACTTTTTTCCATCTTAACAGATATGTAGTAGATCAAATTTTCTTATGCTTGTGTGTTTCCCTCATGACCAATAATATTGAGTATGTTTTTATGTGCTTGTTTACCATCCATAGATCTTTGGTTAAGTGTTTGTTCAAATGTTTTACATATTTTAAATTGAGTTGTTTCTTGTTTTTAAATCGGGGAATTGGGAGAGAGGAACAGTGTTGGGGAATTGGGGAGGGGAACCAGCCAAGTTGTTCTTCAATATTAGTCGTGGAGGGCGCCAGTCCTGTTGGCAGCTTGTGGCCTCTAAGCTCAAGTTGCTGTGTTACAATGTTAGTTGTGGGTGGGCATAGCCACCATCCCATGCGGGAGTCAAACCCAGCAGCCTTGTTGTTAAGAGCGCACACTCTATCCACTGAGCCATCCAGGCGGCAGCTCAGTTCAAGGTGCCGAATTCAGTCTTAGTTGCGGTTGGGCATAGCCCACCATCAAACAGGCAGTCTTATTAAGAGCACGTGCTCTCACCAGCTGAGCCATCCTGCCACCTGTTGGCAGCTCTGCAGCAGCTCAGCTTAGGCACAGCATCACAGACCCATGTGGGAATCAAACCGGCAGCCCCGTTGCTCAGAGCTGGCACTCTTGAGCTAGCTCTTAACCAACTGAGCCACTCAGCTGTCCCTAAATTGAGTTGTTTCTTATCATTGAGTTGTGAGAGTTCTTTATCCAAATTGGATACAAGTCTCCTAATAGATATCTGCTTTGCAAAGATTTTCTCTGAATCGAGGCTTGTATTTTCACTCTCTAACAATGTCTTTCAAAGAAGAGAAGTTTTTAAATCTGGTGATGTCAATTTGTATTTCACATCTTTTAGCTTCTATTTCATATTTTAAAAATCTTACCTACATTCTGAAAGATTCCTTTGGCGTGATTTTAACAACTTACAAATTTGCTCTTTTGGCAATCTATTTTACTTTTCAGCTGATATGTTGAATTTTTATCAGTTGTCAAATTTTTAAAATAAAAATCATTCATAATATTTGCAACATGGTAATCTTGCATCTGCCTGAGAATATTAGTTATTCAGTTAAGCTTGGTCTTTGATCTCTACTTCCTCAAGTGTAAGTTCTACACCTGATAAAAGGGTGATGTCTCTCTTGCACAGAGCTGGATTTCCAGTTGCTTGGTGAATCTTAGCTGAGAAATCATCCATTTGAGGATCCCTGTTGGCTGATCTTTGCTTATTGCAGCCCACCGTCAGGATGAGTGAGAGTCAGACATAGTGCTACCAGGGGTCACTTTTTTGGGGCAGGCATTCTTCATTCTGTCCTAGTATTGCTACCCCCTAACCCCCTGGGACACTGTCATGGCTGTCTGTCTGAAGGCTCATGCTCCTTTGCTCCTACATGGAGGAGACACCTCTATTGCTGCTGCCTAGTGCAAGGAATAGTGGGGACAGAGAACGCTGACCTGAAAGCGCCTACTCTGGTGTCGCAGCTCACTTCCCATCAGGTGCTCAAAGCAGCTCTTCTCCCACTAGGCTTTGAGTATTGTTGAAGCCATCGACCATCCTCCACTTTTATGCAAGAGTCCTCTCTCGTGTGTGCCTAAGTATTGGGTTCCTTTTAAAATTTGATTAGACTGCCTTCTCTATTTCAGGGACTTTTCAAGATTACTTATCCATAAGGAAAGCCCTTCCAACATTATGGATCAAAAGCACATTTTTTCTTTCTCATTTCTAGAGACTTGTGGTTGGAGGGGAGGCTATAACTGATGTTTAGTCCTCCAACTTGAGCTGAACCTGTAGGCAATATTTGCATGTATAGGAGAATCTCTTGGTATTTGAAGGCCCACAAGTACAGACCACACATGCCAAATGTTGTCATGACAGTTTGGTTTGCAACTTTGATGTTTACACTTTGTTTGGAAATGTTTACTAGGGCCCACCTGCAGCAGGGAAAGCATAACCACTTTTTAGAAATGGAATTCTGGACATTTCTCTCCCCTGTGGGAGCATCATGCTGGAGAGGCCGTGTGTCTATGCTACACTCCAGTCAACAGTCCCAGTCAAGCCCAACCTTGTACCATTCCCACCAAGGTTCCAGATACGTGAGTGAAGCCATCTTTGGACCCTCCAGACAAGCCCAGCCACCAGCTGAGTACATTGAGTACCCACAGTTGATGCCACATGAAACACAGCTGAAGAATTGTCCAGCTAAGCCCTGCCGAAGTTCCTGACCCACAAAAGTGTAAGATATAAGAAAATGGCGATTTTTAAACCACAAAGTTTTGGGGCAGTTTGTTATGTAGCAATAGAGAACCAAAACACTTGGCACATAATAAGTGCTCAATAAATATGGGTCAGGGTATATTGATGTCAAATTTCACTTTCCAGGGCAAATATGTAAGAGTAGCCAGGTTTGGAAGATTATTACCCTGAACCCACCTACCTTGACCTTCTTCCCTCTCACTCTGAGTCTCCCCTCAGTATTGGAACTGATTTCCCAGGCTGGGGGGACAGGTTGCCTTCATCTAAAAACCTCATTGTGCATCCATGTGAACTGTCTTCTTTCTACATAAAGGACACCAAACAGCCCCCAAACCACTTCTACCTCTACTTCTGCTGCCATCTCCATGGGTAAACCTTGAGCCTGTGTTCTGGGCCCCAATTTCCCCTTCCCCCTTTTTTATATAAATGGACACTGTCCAAGGGCACATCTGTTTCTGACAAAGCTACAGAGCACGTGTCCCTCTTACTTGACCCACTGCTGTTTCACAACCTTCAACTTTTTGGTATTTATTTTCTTCATCCTCCCCTGCGCCCCTCCTCTCACCCCCATTTCTCAAAATACCCTCCCTTGACCTCCTGTATTCCCCTCATTTATCCTCACCCCTCCCTGCAGCACTCCTCTTTAACTGGTCAGCTCTTAACCCTTCAGGTCTCAACTGAGCTGCTACTTCACGGAAGCCATGAGGCTTTCCCCAGCCCCCACCCCAGGTAAGTATCCTTCCCCTGTGCTACTGATAAATCACTCTTTACCAACCATCTCCCCTCATTTCAACCTCTTTCATATCGTAAGGAACTGGTTTATTATCAGCTTCCTTCACTAGACTGCTCTCTGGAAGGGTACGCCCTGCTCCTTGTTACAGCTCAAGCACTTAGCAGTCTTAGGAACTGGGACACAGATCTCTGGAGCTCTCTGTCCACAGTGGCAGATGAAAACAACAGCGTCTTCTACTACCAGCAACACTGGTTGAGGCTTTCTATGTGCCAGGAATCTTTCTAATCCCATTACATGACCCTCGCCAATAATCCTGGGAGTAGGTCCTATTGTCACCCCCACTTTACCGATGAGGAAATGGAATCTCAGAATGGTTAAGGAACTCGTTTGTGTGTTTGTTTTTCTATTACTGGTAGATGTTGGAGCTGAGATTCAAACCCAGGAAGCTGCCTCCCGGGTCAGTGAAGCTCTGTTGGGAGAGACTTCCCCTTTGGTCTTTGACTTAACGTTGTCTTTGAGTTTTCACAAGCAGTGAGTCTTGTATGTGCAGTTTGCCCTTCTTCCCTAAGCTCCTGCTCCTAAACGTGACTGTTGGTGTCGTCTTGGTGGCTTATAGGTGCCTCCACTCCCTACATGCCTGTCCTGCGTTCAGAGTGCATCTCCTTTGGTGTACCAAATACACTTTCCCTCCCTATCGCCTTTTCTCACCGAAGGCACGCACAGCACTCTACCGTG